GCTGCTGCTGCTGCTGCTGCTGCTGCAGCTGCTGCTGCTACTACTACTACCGTTTTCCCCGCTGCTGCCGAGCCGTTAGGCAGCCTAATGCTGCCCCTTCTCTGCAGCACGAGGGACAGCAGCGCGATTTCAGGTGGCGAGGCGTTGCTGCTGCTGCTGTTGCTGCTGCTGCCGTTGCTGCTGCACTGCTGCTGCTGCTGCTGCTGGTGTTGCTGTGCCTGCAAAGCTGAAAAGGCCCGAAGTGTGTCTCCGCTATGTCTTCCCTCCTAGAGTTCAATTCGGCGCAGCACTTTGCGGCAAGACAGCAGCAGCAGCAGCAGCAGCAGCGGCAGAGTCAGCAGCAACAGCAGCAGCAGGAAGCCACCCGTATATGTCTGCCTCTGCGTCTGCTGCAACAGATTAACAGAAAAAAAGAAAAAACAAAACAAGAAAAAAGAAAAGAATGGTCAAATACAATTATAGAGACACCAATAACAGCAGCAGCAGTAGCAGCAGCAGCAGCTGCTGCTGCTGCTGCTGCTGCCGCTGTACATGCAGCCACCAGAGTTTTGCTGCTGCTGCGTTTCACCGCGAGAAACTGAAAATTAACTGAGCCCATCTCATCAATTAATTAATTTTTATTTTAATTAATTAATTAATTAATTTATTTATTTATTTCCCTTTTTGTATTTTCCCATTCTGCCTTTGCTGCACACAAAAGCTCCCGCTGCCGCTGCTGCTGTTGCTGCTCCTTCTCTTGCTGCTGCATCTCATCCCCCCGTTCAATATTTAAAAATAAATATAGGCAGCAACTCTTGAGGCGAGCAGCAGCAGCAGCAGCAGCACTGCTGCCCACAGCAGCAGTAGCAGCAGCGGGAACGACAGCCGCAGCAGCAGCAGCAGCAGCTCGGCTGGCAACGGCCTCAGCAGCAGCAGCGTGAAACCCATAACAACCTGCAATTGACCCAGCAGCAGCAGCAACAGCAGCAGCAGCAGCTGTAGCAGCAGCCGCGGCAGCAACAGCAGCAACAAAAGCGACAGCAGCAACAGCAGCAACAGCAGCAACAGCAGCACAGCAGCAGGGGCAACAACGGCAGCAACAACAGCAGCAGGCGCAACAACCATAGCCGCAGCATCGATAGCATTAGCCGCAGCAACCGCAGCAGCTACAGCAGCAGCAGGAGCAGCAGGAGCAACAGCAGCAGCAACAGCAACACAGCAACCACATCATCAACAGCAGCAACCACACCAGCAGCATCATCAGCAGCAACCACATCAGCATCAGCAGCAGCAGCACTAACCAACACAGCAGCAGCAGCAGCAACATCCGCTGCAGCCACCAGACCAGCACAAGCAGCAGCAGCAGCAGCAGCAGCAGCAATGGCTGCACGGAACCCCGGCCCGAAGCTGAACCCGGTGCCTCTGGGCTTTCCTTCTTTCAACAACAGAGTCCACCGGGACAAGCTGAGCAGAATTGCTTTTGCTGCTCACGAAATAAACGCGAGGGTTTACAAAAACGTATACGCTAATTTAGGGTTTAGGGGCCCGGTTCCTATTCTGAACAAGGCGAGCCGCGGTTTGGGCTCTGCGCCCATCCCTCTGCTTCTTTTCTTTTCTTTTTTTTTGTTTTATTTTGTTTCATTTTTTGTTTTATTTCTTTCCATTTGTTTTTTCTTTTATTTAAATGCGCGTTTCCCGCCTTTGCACTGAAAGCTGCACGCCATTGAGGTGTACGTACACCTCAGTTCAAGTCGAGCTGCGGCGGGAAGCACACCAAAAGAAGCGCAAAAGAAGAATTAATTCAAAGATAAATAAATAAAATATAATAAAACACTTTTATCTTCTTTTTTAATCCAAAATTAAAACAAATTTCCCCCTTTTTGCTGCAGGTCGGCGCCTCCAGAATCCGCCTCCGCTGCATGGTGGGCGGCTACGGCCGAGGCGTCTTCGTCTTCACCCGGCTAGCCAAAATGGGCATGCAGCAGCTAGCTAGAGAAGGTTGGCTAAAGAAATATGGATATAAGCCTTATCTATTCAGATAGCAGCAGCAGCAGCAGCAGCAGCAGCAGCAGCGGCAATTGCTGCGCTATTTTGGGCGTTTTCGTAATACATCGGCTAGCCAAAATGGGCACGCAGCTGCTAGCTAAGGAGGGCTGGCTCACACACCGCAGCAGCAGCAGCAGCAGCAGCAGTTGCTGCTGTCTTCCAGGGGTTTTAAATCCAACGCATTCAAATAAAGAGAGACGCAGCAGCAGCAGCAGCTGCTGCTGCTGCCGCGACTAAAGGCTGTCGGGTTTGCTGCAACTGGAGCTGCTGCAGTGCACCTGCAGCAGCAGCTGGTGCTGCTGCAGCAACAGCAGCAACAGAAGCAGCAGCAGCAACGACACCATCAGCAGCAGAAGCAGCAGTGGCTCGAGTGGCAGCAAGTCACCAAGGTTGTCAGGGTTGTGCAAATCGGCCACAACTACACAGATTAGCTGAGCAGCAGCAGCAGCAGCTGCTGCTGCTGCAGCTGCAGCAAGAGCAGCAGCAACAGCAGCAGGGTGGAGCGACGCGAGCTGCTGCAACAACGGCGCTTGAACCCTATTTAGCCAACACAAAGGAGCAGCAGCAGCAGCAATTGCTGCTGCTGCTGGCTGCTAGGGCCCCTCTTTTGTCAGCAGCCGTCGCAGCAGCAGCAGCAGCTGCCGCTGCTGCTGCTGCTGCTGCTGCTTCTGTTTGCTTCCTGCTGACCCCGTTCTCGGTTTTTCAATTTTGCTTCTTTTCAATTTGCCACCAGCAGATAAATAATAAAGTAAATAACCAAAAATAAATTAATAAATAAAAATAAATAAATAGATTAATTAGTTAATCAATTAATTAATTAAAATAAATAAGTGAAAGGAGAAATTAATTAACTGCAGTTTGCCTTCGAGCTGGCGGTGACCTCTGGCTGCTGGGGGTATGGACTGGAGGACTTCAAAGATGGACATTTTTGTTCATTTTAGTTCATTTTTAGTTCATTTTTAATTTAATTTGGATTAATTTTAATTTGTTTTTAATATGTTTATTATTTTAAATTGTTTTGTTCGATTTAATTGGCCTTCTTGCGTTCGCTGCGCGGACAGCAGCGAGCGGTGGCCCGGTGTCTCGACAGCAACAACGGCACAAAAGGAGTCAAAAGGCGTTTAAAAGTGAATCAAATTAATTTAAACTCATTTTATTTGAATTAATTCATTAAATTAAATCAAAATGTCTTTTATTTCCTCTCTTTTCACCGCAGAAACCCACCCGCGCCGGCAGTAGCGCCCACCCACCCCCAGCGCCTCTTTCCCCGCGTTTCTTCAATTTAGAGCTAAAATTAAATAAATAAATGAATAAATAAATACTAGTTTAATAATCAAATAACAAAATGAACCCCAAAGCCAAAGAGGGGCCCCCATGGAGCCTCTGAGACCCTCTAGGGGCCCCCCGGGGCCCCAAGACAGTGCCCGAGGCCCCCTCAGGGGCCCCCTGGAAGCCCCTTGGGGGCCCCCCAAAGGGGGCCCCTTAGGGGACCACCCATGGGGCCCCTGGGGGCTCCTTGGGACTTTAAGGGGCCCTGGGGAGTTTTGGGCGATTTAATGTGTGGACTGGTAGTTTCAGCCCCTGAGGCACGCAAACCCTAAACCCTAAACCCTAAACCCTAGACCCTAAACCCTAGATTTATTGGATAGTTTCTGTGGACTTTGTCGTCAGGAATTCGGCCCCAATTTAATCCAGAGCCCAGAAGCAGTGTTTACAGCGCAGGCCGCAGGCCCTGAGCCTAGGGTTTAGGGTTTAGGGTTTGGCGTTTAGGGTTTAGGGTTTGCAATGGAGGGTGAGGAGGCCGCAGCCGCGGTGGTGGTTTGTGTTCTAAGCGGAGGCGAAGTGATGGAGAAGAAGCTTTTGATAAATCCAAAAGATTCAATAAATGAAATAATTAAAAATATAAATTCAAAAGAATTAAAAGACGAAATAATTAAAAAAAACGTTTTTCCCAAACCCTCGCTGCAGCAAACCCTCGCCACCCCCGAGGGCCGGGTGCTGGACCCCAGCAGCAGCTTGGCCCAAAGCGGGCTGCTGCTGCCGCCGCCGCC